AGGAAAAGAAGTAACGATGGACTTTCAGTATACACAGGGGAAATGCTCGCAATATTATTAGCCATTCAGTGGGTTGAAGAAACAAGACCATTGAGATCGGTGATTTGTTCAGACTCCAGTTCATCATTAGTCAGTTTACAATATAACCATTCAGAAAGCAGGCCAGATATTTTAATAGAAATTCAACAAACACTATACAGAATAATTATGATGGGTCTAATGATACATTTTTTATGGATACCAGCTCATTATGGTGTTACAGGAAATGAAATGGCAGATAAAGCTGCAAAGGAAGCCACTAGAAATAAATCGGTGAATTTAGTAGTTAATTTTAGTAAATCAGAAATAAAACTTTTAATAAAACAGAAAATGAAGGATAAATGGCAAAAGATATGGGAGGAAGAAAAGAAAGGACGCTGGTTCTATAAAATCCAAAAGAAAACTGGAGACATGAGAAGTACAGGGAGGACGAGGAGAGAAGAGACAATTATTTCTCGTCTCAGATTTGGGCATACTGGGTTAAACAGCACTCTTTTTATTTTAGGGAAACACTGCACTGGTAAATGTGAGTACTGTGGAGCAGATGAGACAGTACAGCATGTAATGTTACACTGCAAAATGTATGAGGAAGAAAGACGACATTTGATTCAAAATTTAAATAAAATTAAAGTAAAACTAGAATTAATTGATTTATTCAGAAATAACTCTAATAGTAAAGTTTATCAGATAATCTTTCATTATCTTAAATCAACACAGTTATTTAAGAGGATTTAATCCTTGAGTGACATTTTGGTCCACACTCCTTACCAGTCGGTGGCGGTAATGCACCAATTTCGTTGTTTGCCAACCGCCAATAAACCTCAAAGAAGAAGAAGAAGCAGATCAGTGCCAGAGCAAAGTTCTACCAAGCTCCATGTTCCTGTGACTACTGGCTGGCTGACTTCAAGCTCCTTATCGGTCTCCATGCATGACAGCAGCGTTTTCTCCTCCTCCACCACCTTCACTCCTGTGTGCCTCACCTGGTTCCTGGTTTCTCCTCACCTCCACCCTTGGTGATTTTTGTAAATACACTTGTAAATATACTCACCTGATTCCACCGTGGATTGTTGGATTCGGATCCTGTCTCCTTTTCTCATACTCCTGGAACTACAACGACAAGTAAGCTTATTTTTGGATTACACTCAACATTTCCAAAATCTCCTCAAGACGATTTGTCATTCACCATCAATCTCCTCTCTATTCCAACAGTGGATCCATCCTGAGTTTAAGTTTACCAGCTACACCTGAACCAATAAATATAATTGTTTTTTTTACCTCCAAGTTGTTTACTCCTTGCTTCAAACCGTTCGCCTTTGACATCACCCACAGACCTTAACAACAGGTTGGCAACAATAGGAGAAACTGGAGACCCCATAGCACACCCATGTTTCTGCCTATAATATTGCTCCCCATATGTGAAGTAGGTTGACTGCAGGCACAGTTTCAAGAGTTGACACAGTTGTTCTGTGGAAAGCGTGGTCCTGCAGCTCAAGGTGGTGTCTGAGTGGTGTTCGTTTTCAATCTTTTTACAATTCCAGTCGTGTGACCGGACATTACATCCAATAACGCAGCAATTTCGGACCATCCCTAAACTGTTTTAACCTACTTAGACAAAAAAAAAAAAGTCAGCGAGAAAGCTTGTTTTCAACAGTTAATATAAAGCACTATTAAAATGGTGGATTCAGCCCCATCCTATCCCATCAGCCGCCGCGCCGCGGACAAGTGATGTCACACTCTAAAGCTCTATTCGCCAAGGATGTCCCATTTCACCATACTTACTCTTACTTCGTTCACAAATTCTTACAACTCTTATCTCCAGTAGTGCTGTACAAGGTATCACCATAGCTAATAAAGAGCTTATAATCAGCTGATGACACCACAATTTTTTAAGGAATGAAAACCAGATCCTGCTTGCCTTAGATGTTATCAGTGACTTTTCCAAGGCCTCTGGTTTATGTTTAAATTTAAAAAAAAATGTGAATTACTAGCAATTAAAGACTGTTCAGCAAATGTTATTTGTAATATTCCTGTTAAACGAGAAGTCACTTATTTAGGATTTTTAATCTCTAAAGACCAAAATTAATATGCTCCTCTAATTTTACACCAGTTATACAGAAAAACAAAAATAAACTTAACCAGTAGCTGTTGGGACTTAACTCTACAAGGTAGAGTGCTGCTCACTAAAGCTGAAGGATTATCCCGATTGACATATGCTGCTCTCTCCTTACATACTGTAAGGATGTTACTTTTCTGTGGCCCGTTGTGTCTGTTTCCCTCGTGCTCCTCATTAGTTCCATTGTTGCCACCTGTGTCTCGTCCCAGCTGTTTGTCATCATGTCTCGTCTTCTCCTTGTATTTAAGTCTCCCTATTCTGTCTTGTCCTTTGTCGGGTCGTCTTCGTTGGGTGTGCTTCCTTGAGTCTCCTGAGTCTCTCCTTTTCTTCCTGGTTCCTCGAGTTCCTCGTGTCTCCTGAGTTCCCCGTGCCTCCCTCCTTGTTTATGTAAGTTTGGCTGCCCCGTCAGCATATTTATTTTGTACTTTTTATTTATCATTAAAGACCTATTTTTGTATATCTGCCGAGTTGAGTCCCTGTTCTGCACTCTGGGTTCGCTCCGACCACAAATCCTAACACATTTAGATAATAAAATTAGTAAAGAAATTGACTGTGTTTTAATTTTATATGGGAAAAACCGTACACACTATATTAGGAAAACTGTTATGAATAACTATGAATCAGGTGGACTTAATTTTCTGGATTTTTCTACCCTAAATAGCACATTCAAAATTAATAGGGATAAACACTTTCTTAAGAATCCGACTTCTATCTGGAACCTTATACCATATCATGTTTTCTTGCGCTTTGGCGGCTTTAATTTAATTTTAAATTGTAATTACAACGTTGAGAAACTTCCTGTAAAACTTTCATCCTTCCATAAGCAGGTGCTCTTAGCTTGGACCCTCATTTATAAACACAACTTCTCACCACACAAATACCTTATCTGGAACAACAGAAATATTTCATTTAAAAACAGGTCACTCTTCCTTGAGACTTGCATTCAAAATGGGATCCTACTGGTGGCTCAGCTGGTTAATAAGGATGGACGACTACTCACCTACAATGAATTTTGTTCATTATACAAAGTATAATTTCTCAGTTAGTCTCCAAGAATTCTCAATGGTGGTTTGCGCTATACCCTCCCTCAGGCACCTTAATATTTAAAAAAAAATACTAACAGTTCTCTCTCTACTCCAGTTCCTGTCCCTGGTCCAGCTGAGTCATCAGTGGGGAAAACCTGCTTTTCACAGCAGCGTGGTTTGTTTGTCATTTTTATTCATTTCATATTTAAAACACAAAAACAATTTAGAAACCAAATGAGAAAAAAAAAACACGTCATAAAATGCAAGGTAGCAGAAGAAGAAAAAATCTTATCATATCTGCCCCTTGTTTAAAACAAAATCAATTCAAACAATCAATTCAAACAATAATCATGGTGGTATCATCAAATCAGCGTGGTAACAATAAAAGAATACGCAGGTTGTTCCGAGAAGGCATCGTTTCTCGTCCATATTGTTGCGGTTGGATCAGGGGTGGCTGCGGGTCACCGGTCACCCAGAGGCCCCCTCTTGGACCCTGGACCCTCTTCCAGCCCATGTCTCTTCCCCTGACTCGAATCTCCCTCAGAAGTGGCAACTCACACTATCAATAAATCAAGGAAACGTCAATTAAGTTTTACCAATTATATTAAAATCAAGGCAGGAAAAGGTTACAGTTTACAGCGCTGGTCTCTCTGGTCTGTGACGCGTTCACAAACCTGGAAGAGCCCTGATGTCCTGTGTCATTACTCCTTGACAGATATTGATTCCCAGGGAGTCTCATTTTAGAGTTGCTGGCCCAGTTTAACCCAGTCGTAACCGGGTCATAATTTCATTATAATCCCGTTTCTGAGCAGGTCAAAACCATAGGACCAGTCTAGATAAAAATATCCAACAATATATAACATCTTATTGGAGCCGTTATATCCCAGATATCAACTGGAAGACTGTCTGGATGACTCCCCATAAATATTTAATTATAAATAAGATGAAGGAAGTGTCATTTAAAATCTTCATAAAATTTACCCTGTTAAACTATATATGATTAAATTTAAAAGAGACATAAATATTGATTGCAGTTTTTGTGGTGACCTTCCTGAAACAGTGACACATCTTTTTTGGCACTGCCCTTTCACACGCAGGTTTTGGAAGGAGTTTAGCAGGTTTATTAATAACCATATTTTAATTTTTTGTGTGTGTGTTTTTTTTTTTTTTAATAAACTTGCTAATTCTTTTGGCCAATTTTTTCATTCATAAATGTAAATTTACTAACAAAACGCCTTGCTTTTTAAATTTTATTAAGGATGTGGAATTATATGTAAAGTTAATAACAGACTCTACCAACAAAAAGGCCCTAAGGACAATTTCTATATGTAAATCTTTGCAAATATTTGTTTAAAAATCACACCCCTGGTTGTTTGTTCATATAAGTGTTGTGTTAATCTGTATACTCAATTCATTTGTTTGTTGTATACTTATCATTTGCTTTAATAAAGATTTATTATAAAAAATAAAATTTAAAAAAGATATGGGAGGTGGTGCTCTTATTCTGAAAGATCCCAACCGGAAGTTATTGCAAGGAATAAATAGGAGGGAGGAGATAATTATAAATAGAATAAGAACCGGGCATAGTTTTTTGAATGGCACTCTTTTTAAGATGGGTTTACTGGTTTATGTGATTGGTGTAATACCACAGAAACAATAGAACATGTTTTTATTAATTGCGGGAAATATGTGGGTCAAAGAAGATTATTGAGAATGGAAATAGGTTGTAAAAGGGAACTAAAATTTGAAAATGTGGCTTCGCAGCTGAATAGTGAAGAAGGGAAAAGAAAGATATTTCGTTTTTTAAATAATACTGGAGAGAATTTGAGGAAAGAAATTAACTTATAAACACCAAGAGATGGCAGTAGTGCAACATTGATGGATGCAAGCTGCCGTTAAAAACCAAAGAAGAAGAAGAAGAAGGAAGTTATTGCAACCAGTAGTAAGTCACCGGATCAAAGTCCACAACAAACGGACCCTGATCAGAAAGACGTTCAGAATATCCCACACTAGGTAAGATACACTGACCCAAAAACGGGTTCGAGTTGAAACATTTTTTTTAAATCATTGTTTAAAATAATTTTACGGTCGCGCAGTTGGTAGAGCTGCCGCCCTTCAGCGAGAAGTGTTGCTGTTATTCCGAGAAACGCACCGCGGTAAAGTTTACACGACAACAATCCAATAAAAAATGGAATGTTTTTCCAATTATTAACACATTTACACGAAAACGTTTTAATTACAATGTCAGATTACACAGTAACCATAGATATAAACACTAGATCCCTCATTGGCTGCTGCGGCGCAGGAATTTCGGCCGCCTTCTTGGAGCGGTCGTCCGTATTTGGTTAAAGCAGAAGATGTCTCAGCACTTCGCAGCTTATTTCTTGTTCTAATCGACGGACTGTTGACGTCAGGTCTCGGGGGATAACTTTTCACAAGTAAGATGAACATATTATTGTTAGTATTTTGTGAATAGAAAATGTCCTGTATTTATATCCACCAGCTGATGTGATGTTCAGTATAACACGGTGTTCAGCTGCAATGAAGCTAACTGAGATCTGATGACAGGAATATTTTTCTAACAAGCATACTCACAATTTCAGTAGCTTTGGTTCCTTATCAACAGATATGCATCAGAACTGGAGTTTTGTTTAAGTTCATGGATATTAAAATAAATAAAAAATAGGGAGAATATAGGAAATAGAAAATAAGATTGACCTCCTTTGTACAATGTTTTTGTGTAGACACAAATCTCCTGTTTTCATTTTGAAGGTTTCCCAAAGAAAAAGATGTGAGGAAGAGGTGGAAGTATCTATGAGAAGGATTCTTCTGTACAGTGAGGATTTTAAACTGGAGGATTTTGATCAAACTGATCAGACTGTCCGACTGAGAGATGGTGTGGTACCATCGGTTCACCTTCAAAGAGTAGGAGCATCATTATAAGTTAATTAATGTTCATAAATTTACATATTTTATTGTCAGTCACAAGGTGAGATACCTGCATGTGTTTATATGAACAGGTAAATATAGACTGTAAAGTTCATATTCATTATGTTTTTTCATTTCAGCTTGAAAACTGCAGGACTACAGGAACTCAACAAAAGCTGGAGCTGCTCTGTCTGTGGCCTCTCAGGAACGTGCACGTCACACCCACAACCTCGGCCTCATGATGCGAGTATTTCTATTTTAAACTTTTATTTTTTTCATTTACCCTTTATTTATCCAGGTAGTCTCATTGAGTCATGAGAACTCATTTTCTAGAGAGACCTGTTTAGGAGCAGATGGTGGGGGTTAAGGGCCTTGCTTAGGGGCCCAGAGTGGGGCCAATGAAGGTGGAGGCAGGTGTGGGTGTTTCACCTTTTCCACCCACATTTTGATGTTGACAGTACCGGGAGTTGAACCTGCGACTTTCCCATCAAAGGCCCGTCTTCCAACCTCTGCACCACCACTCCCCCACATAACATCATATCATAATGGTCATGGCCATATTAAAATCTCACTGGTTTCCTTCCAGATGTGTTAAACAGCTACTGGTCCCCCTGATGTTTGCAGGTGGCTGTGGTCAGTGGATGAAAAGCCTGGCATGAACAAGATGATGCTGGAGATCATCATTTGACAAGAGCTACCACCTTCTAACTCTGAAGAACAACAGCAGCTCAGTGATTCCCTTGTAGGGGAATACATGTGCAGGATATTGGACTTCTGGTCCGGTCAAACCCGTACCCTTTAACAGGTTTTACTCTGGACCGGCCTCACCTCAAACATATATAAACCATGAGTTCTTGTAACAAACTTAATTCCTGTCCCTCGAAGAAAACACAAAGAATCCGTAATTTAAATACAGTTCTGTAATGTTTATTTTCAGTTTGAATTATGACATGAAAATTATGGCAAATATTGAAAATGAATATGAACCAATAATATTATTTTAGAAAGTAAATGGCATAAATCTGAGGACTTTGAGAAGGGGTTTTGATTCAATTTGGACTAAGGTCTAGCTCTTAACGTTAAAATTTAGGTATGTTTATCTCAGATTCATGAATTAAATTATCTAAACAAACTTTTAACATGCTGATCAGCTGAGTTTGAGCACAAACAACACATAATCTCGACGGCAACCCAAAGTTATTCAACCCCCACTTGTAGGTTCCAATTTTTTCCGATCGATGGTTGTTTTACTTCTAGTCTGATCTCGTGGTCAAGAAAAGTTGATTTTTCCTTAAAGGTTTATTGTTAGGTCTAAGGTGTTTTGCCGTACCTATTTGTTTGTGGGTTTGTGAATTTAAGGTGCTACTTTGAGAAGGATAGGGGTTTTTACCTTCTTAAGTTTGTTTAGCCTATGTTTTGGTCATCTGAAGATTCTCTACCATTTGTTGTTTTAGTTCGAGCCTTGTGTGGCTTGATCTGGTTTCGGTGAACCCACTTAAGGACAGGTTCTTTCTGACTTATGCTGATTTTGATATGGTACACAACTGGGGACAGTTTATCCGTTATCAGATGTGGTCTAATCCACGTTGGTAGAAGTTTATGGGCAAGCGTTCCGGTTTGGGAAGCTTTTTGTCCTGTGACTGGGGCAAAGACGTAATATCAGACCTTCTCCCCCACTTGAAGTTCTTCATGTGAGGCTTCGTGGTAGGTTTTATGTCCTTCAGTCATTTCATTGAGATGCTTTTGAGAAAAAGCGGAGGTGGTTTTCATTTGTTGGTTGGAGGTTCCCTGACGAACTTCAGGAAATGTCTGTCTGGATCTGAGGTTGTCTAGATCAGGGACAGAGGTGACCTGAGGAACGGTTGTCAGTGACCACACAACATCATTTATGGTGTCCACCCGAATACTAAGTCGGACTAGGATGTCATGGCTTATGTATACCGAGTGTGGTAAGTTTGGGACCACAAGAAATGAGTGAGTCAGTTCTCTATGGTTCCATTTAAGCCTGAGAGTACAACTACCCACAGCTTTTAAGGTATAAGACGATCTTAAATCGTTTTGGAAATGAAAAGTCTTTCTAACCACTTGGAGGTTAAAGTGTTTAAGCACTAAGGCCTCATAAAGGTCTTGGTTGATGGCGGACTTGTCAGTCCAAAGAGACAACACAACATCATTCACTTGAGATTCCTGAACCTCAATACCTTTAACCACTTGAGGGAGGTAATTAGGGCTGCAACTAACGATTATTTCAATAATCGATTCATTTGACTGACATAGCAATTCACACAAAAAACAGGTTGCTATTTGACTATTCTGTTAGTAAAATATTGAATAATAAAAAATAAAAGTTGGTCAAATAGCTTAAAAAAATGTACACAAATATATATACAAATGTATCTTTATACCTACACAATATGTAGCTACTTTGTAAAATGTGTCAATGAGGGAAGAGTGTAACCTGGATTAAAAGTGTGGATCGTTGTAGTGAAGCCTTCGTCTTCAACCATCGACAGAGGCCTCATGTCAGTGACGATCATGTTAAGGATCTTTCAGTGAAGACAGCTGCTGCTGTGGTGTCCATGATGTCTGTCCATCATGAAGGCTGTTGTTGTTTGTTATTGCTTTCTGGAATGAGAGAGTAAATATGTATTATATCATAATTTACAGCAACTTAAGAAATGCCTTGTTTCACTTACAGTGTTAGGTTCAGGCAAAAGTAGCTAAAAGAGCAATTAAACACACACACACACACACACACACACACACACACATATATATTTAATTCAATTCATCCATCCATCCATTTTCTTTACCCGCTTATTCCATTTTGGGTCACGGGGGTCGCTGGTGCCCATGTCCAGCAATCACTGTGCGAGGGGCGGGGTACACCCTGGACGGGTCGCAAGTCCATCACAGGGCCACATAGAGACAAACGAGACAAACAACCATTCACTCTCTCACTCACACCTAGGGACAATTTAGAGTTACCAATCAGCCTAACATGCATGTTTTTGGACTGTGGGAGGAAACCGGAGTACCCGGAGAAAACCCACGCATGCACGGAGAGAACATGCAAACTCCACCCAGAAAGGCCCCTGGACCGGGGTTTGAACCAAGGACCTGCTCGCTGAGAGGCAGCAGCTCTACCAGTTGCGCCACCGTGCTGCCCTAATTCAATTCAATAATACTTTATTAATCCCAAAGGGAAATTATTTGTTTTTGTAACTCGTTATCCTCATTTCATTAAGAGATGTTATAGATGCTGATGTCTGTAGACAGGAAGGATCTCTTGTAAAGGTCCATCCCACAGTGGATCTTAAGAAACTGGCTGCAGACCGTCCGATCCGTCCACCCAGACTCGGCTGGCCTCTCGGTTCCCCTGGACTGTAGGACCGCTTGAATGCTGGGCAGAACTCCTCTCAGAGCGATGGCCACTCCTCCCAGCAGTCTGCCGAGCTCCTCATAGCTGTGGACAGTCAACTGTAGGTGCTGAGGGACGATCCTGTCTATCCGCTGTCGTGAGCCGTGTTTCTTGCTAGTTCCAGGATCTCAGAGATCAGGCACTCGAGCACAGCTGGCAGGTAGATGAGAATGCATCCACAGAACATCCTTTTCAACTCATTTGAGAGTTGGGGGCCATAGTTGAGATATTATTTGAGCTTTTGAAATGTTATTCAGCTGCTGTTGTAGAAAACTGCCTTGTTGCCATGGTTACGCATCATAACAAATGTCCAAAGCCAAAAAAGTTTCAGTAAAAATCCTTCCTGCTGCACAGCATCTGATACCAGAGGAAACAATCATCCAAAAAATGTGATTTACATCCAGAAAAACAGGAATTAAAGTTTCCAAAAGCAAAATCTCAGAATGAAAGTAACAGAGCTGCTCCAACATGCAGCCACCTTGAGCTGCGCAATTCTAGAAC